TATCTATCTATCTATCTATCTATCTGTCTATCTGTCTATCTGTCTGTCTGTCTGTCTGTCTGTCTGTCTGTCTGTCTGTCTCTATCTTTCTATCTCTATGTCTGTCTGTCTGATGGCACACAACGCAAAGATGGCTCCTCTCAGCCTGTTTATCACTTAAGAGGCAATATATCCCGCTCTGCCTGTCTCCTGGCAACCACCCGTAGAGCCCTGTTTCCATGACTGGACCACATCACATCTCCCGCCTGTACTCTCTCTCTATCTGAGGCTTTCGTCATCAAAATCACCAGCCAAATCCTAGTCTAAAGTATAGAACAGTCTTTCTTTCTGCCTATATGTCTATGTCTGTCTGTCTGAATCTGTCTGTCTGTCTGTCTCTGTCTGTCTGCCTGTCTGTCTGTATCTATCTATCTTTCTATCTATCTATCTATCTATCTATCTATATAGTGTTATCCCTTATGCCTCATTCCAACAGAAGCTCTCACGTAAACCTCAGATCCATCAATCTTTTGTCTCCTCAAAGTTCTCACTGAAAAACTGAAACTGTCAACCAATAATTAATCTTCCGTATCTGTCACATCAACAAAAAGCATACAGCTTGACACATATGACTGTCCTTTACTTACCAGCCAACAAATGTTTGCCTTCCTTCTTCCCTTAATAAAGCCTCACTGTGCTAGTCCTGTCAGTTTTCCACTCCTATCCGAGCCTGTTCCTCCGCTGTACTCCTCCTCCAGAGCTGTCCCTGAACCCAGCTGTGAAGAGTCCGTCTTAATGCGGCTGGTGCCGTACAGCCCCACAGGAACCCTCTCAGCCTTACCAACGGTCCGCTCTGCAGCTCTGCGTTCAACATCGCTCTGCTCTTTTCAAACTTCTCTTTTTCTGACAGCTATTTAAAGGCAGGGCTTAATCTAAAAGAGCCTGGTGAAACTGTTTCTCTGTGGTACCACTATACATGTATGCTTGGTTAAGATAGGGTGAGAGGTTAAAGAACTGCTGGCTTATACTAGTGCAGGGGTTTACCGATAGCTTGAGCTCTCTAGCTGCAGTTTCCTGTGTACAAAACGTATCCTCTGCTGAATTTAGAATAACACAGTCATCGATTTGTGCTCTGTAGTAAAAAAAAGTACCTAATCTTTTGTAGTTTTTGCTATTTTCTGGATTAAAATGATCTGTGATATCAAATTTTTTGTTTGGGCTAAAGTGAAAAAGAGGAAATTCATTAAAGCAGACTTTGTAGAAATAAATATTGAGAACAGAGCCCCAGTGTACTTAGTTATAAGGAAGTGACCCTGGTGGCAGCTTGTTGGGCCGACCAAAAAACGGATCGCAACTGTCTGAGATCGAAACTCGAGCAAAAACGCATGCTTACACAGCGATATCACACTGTCCCTCTCTGATCCGCTCAGACTTCTCCAGACTTGACCAGGGAAATGCATATTTATTGTAATGCCACATCCAGCATGTTGCATAACTTTAACACTAAAGCTTTTGTCTCAAATATCTGTTGGTTTCATCACTGCATAAAGAGATGAGCGGCAGACTATACTAAAAAAGCACGGCTTCAAAGATGGAAACTAATATCTAAAAATGTTTCTGCATGGCATCTGTTCTTAGGCTATTTTTGATTGGAGTTGTGACTCTGCTGTTTGTGCTGAAACCGATGAGAAAATCTGCACCATCACAAAGTGGGCAGACAGAATGCAATTGCATTCAGACACTTCTGTGGCCTTTTCCGCCTTGTATTTTCACATCTTTTTTCTCACACATGGTGCCATATGGCATGGCGAATAGGGCCACATTGTTTTTGGTCCATACCTTTGCTTGCGATTTTCCTTACAGAGCACTTCACTGCATCAAATGAGAGCCTGTATGCTTCTCCTGCAGTATCACAGCATCAGCCTCCGCTACCTGAGAGAAAGAACGAGAAATAAAGAGATGGTCAGATTAACATGTTTCAGAAAAAAGGCTCAGAATGCTCTATCTATCTATCTATCTGTCTGTCTGTCTGTCTGTCTGTCTGTCTGTCTGTCTGTCTGTCTGTCTGTCTATCTATCTATATAGTGTTATCCCTTATGCCTCATTCCAACAGAAGCTCTCACGTAAACCTCAGATCCATCAATCTTTTGTCTCCTCAAAGTTCTCACTGAAAAACTGAAACTGTCAACCAATAATTAATCTTCCGTATCTGTCACATCAACAAAAAGCATACAGCTTGACACATATGACTGTCCTTTACTTACCAGCCAACAAATGTTTGCCTTCCTTCTTCCCTTAATAAAGCCTCACTGTGCTAGTCCTGTCAGTTTTCCACTCCTATCCGAGCCTGTTCCTCCGCTGTACTCCTCCTCCAGAGCTGTCCCTGAACCCAGCTGTGAAGAGTCCGTCTTAATGCGGCTGGTGCCGTACAGCCCCACAGGAACCCTCTCAGCCTTACCAACGGTCCGCTCTGCAGCTCTGCGTTCAACATCGCTCTGCTCTTTTCAAACTTCTCTTTTTCTGACAGCTATTTAAAGGCAGGGCTTAATCTAAAAGAGCCTGGTGAAACTGTTTCTCTGTGGTACCACTATACATGTATGCTTGGTTAAGATAGGGTGAGAGGTTAAAGAACTGCTGGCTTATACTAGTGCAGGGGTTTACCGATAGCTTGAGCTCTCTAGCTGCAGTTTCCTGTGTACAAAACGTATCCTCTGCTGAATTTAGAATAACACAGTCATCGATTTGTGCTCTGTAGTAAAAAAAAGTACCTAATCTTTTGTAGTTTTTGCTATTTTCTGGATTAAAATGATCTGTGATATCAAATTTTTTGTTTGGGCTAAAGTGAAAAAGAGGAAATTCATTAAAGCAGACTTTGTAGAAATAAATATTGAGAACAGAGCCCCAGTGTACTTAGTTATAAGGAAGTGACCCTGGTGGCAGCTTGTTGGGCTGACCAAAAACGGATCGCAACTGTCTGAGACAGAAACTAAAGCAAAAACTTGTGCTTACACAGCAATATCACACTGTCCCTTTCTGATCCGCTCAGACTAGTCCAGACCTGACCAAGGAAATGCATATTTATTGTAATGCCACTTCCAGGATGTTGCATAACTTTAACACTAAAGCTTTTGTCTCAAATCTGTTGGTTTCATTACTGCATAAAGAGATGAATGGCAGACTGCACTAAATAAGCACAGCTTCAAAGATGGAAACTAATATCTATAAATGTTTCTGCATGGCATCTGTTCATAGGCTATTTTTGATTGGAGTTGTGACTCTGCTGTTTGTGCTGAAACCGATGAGAAAATCTGCACCATCACAAAGTGGGCAGACAGAATGCAGTTGCTATCAGACACTTTTTTTACCTTGTATTTTCACATCTTTTTCTCATGCATGGTGCCATATGGCTTGACGAATAGGGACACATTGTTTTGGTTCCATACCTTTGCTTGCGATTTTCCACACGGAGCACTTCACTGCATCAAATGAGAGCCTGTATGCTTCTCCTGCAGTATCACAGCATCAGCCTCCGCTACCTGAGAGAAAGAACGAGAAATAAAGAGATGGTCAGATTAACATGTTTCAGAAAAAAGGCTCAGAATGCGAACAACATGGCATCGCATTTTTCCTGCCAAAATCTCTCCATATGTTTTGAAATGTTGCTTAAGAGATAATTAAGCCTTTTAGGATTTTTTTTTTCTATTAATGACATTATTTTCATGACCGCTATGCAAACCTCATCAAATCCTTATTACCGTAAAAAAAAAAGCACAAACAAATTGCATTCTTATTTCTGAGAACAAGATTAGAGCAACCCATTAATTCAAAAATACATATTATACAAACTATGAAACACCTATTTTAAAATTCTCATAAAAAAATTGAGAATAATAGGACTAATGAAGTAATTTGAAAGAAAATTGTCAGAATTAAGAAAATGTATATAATGGCTCTATAGGCTAGCAGTACTTATTTTCTTTAGGCAGTCTTTGTTAAATATTTGTTACCTGCACAGTGTAATAACTGGTCACTGAAACTTATATTAATTTATGGTTATGGATGTGCTTACATACAGTGGCTTGTTTTAAAGCGGTCAGTCAGGCAAACAATATAGTGATAAACCTCTGGGGAGGGATTCATGGGATACATTCGACAGGTCACAATCTGATTCATTTCTTGAGTGGCACGGCCAGCCACCAATCTATCATCACACACACACCCAGTATCACCCTCTAAATAAAGAGGCATGTAAACAGTTAGCTCAATGCATTATGCGGCAATGTCCCTCATAAATCTGAGGCAGTGTGCAACATCATGCAGCACACAAAGCGACCTGCTCACTGCAGTGACTTTATGACTGATATGATCCTTCTTCATCTAAAATGACATCTGGGGATCATTTACCACACTAACATGATATAAACTGACTCAGGATCAGTTCTACTGTATAGTTCCACTGAAGTGTGTTCATTTTAGATGTTAAAATACACAACTTAATGTGCAGAGACAAATAAGTATTTGTAGGATCATTTCACCTAAAAATGTAAACACAATGTATATGTCATTGAATCTACCAATGAAATTACTCTTTACTTTAAAAAAATAATTAGGTACACTTATTATGAAAATGTTTACACTACCGTTCAAATGTTTGGGTTGGTAATACCCAAAACCCCAAAATTTGAAAGAAGACACTTGTGCTCACCAAGGCTGCATTTATTCGATCAAAAATATAGTAAAAACTGTAATATTGTGTAATGCTAGTGTAGTTAACTAAAATTAAAAGTGAAACTAAAATGAAACCCCTAAAAAAATGTTACTTAAAATAGAATATTAAAAACTTTATATTTTAACATTTTTCATTTTAATTTAGCTTAACTTGATGCACTAAAACAACTAATACTTAAATTAATAATGAAACCCCAAAATTTGAAAGAAGACACTTGTGCTCACCAAGGCTGCATTTATTCGATCAAAAATATCGTAAAAACTGTAATATTGTGTAATGCTAGTGTAGTTAACTAAAATTAAAAGTGAAACTAAAATGAAACCCCTAAAAAAATGTTACTTAAAATAGAATATTAAAAACTTTATATTTTAACATTTTTCATTTTAATTTAGCTTAACTTGATGCACTAAAACAACTAATACTTAAATGAGTAATGAATAATAATAATAATAATAATAACTCTCTCTAAACTCAAAATGACAAAACACACAACACAAATGACAAAAAATGTACTAAAATAAAACTTTTTTTATTTCAATATACTTTAAATTGTAATTTATTCCTGTGATATCAAAGCTGAATTTTCAGCATCATTGCTCCAGTCTTCAGTGTCACATGATCCTTCAGAAATCATTCTGATACACAGATTTGCTGCTTAAGAAACATTTCTTTTTATTATCAATGTTGAAAACAGTTGTGCTGCTTCATATTTTTTTGTGTAAACCAGGATTCTAGATGAACAGAGTGAATAAAAAGAACAGCATTTATTTGAAATAAAAGTTTTTTTGTAACCTTAAAATTGTCTTTACAGTCACTTTTGATTAATTTAATGCTGATAAGGTATAACCATTAGTCTATAACCAGTACTTATTAATCTATAAATGGTATGCATGGGCGTAGAATACGTAGGGGACATGTTACACAAAACAACGCCCCTGAACGGTAGTGTTTAACAATGTGTTTTTCTTCAAAAGTCACTAGCAATATTTAAAGTGTTGGATGCATGCTGTGTAGTTTCAGTATAGTCCAGTGGAATATGACCTGCAATTCAATTCACTGCAGCGTTAAGAGACTTCAGACTTATTGACCATGCAGAGGACAGGGTCATCCAGGGTCGCCAGGGACCAAGAAATGTCTTTGAGGGCATACCTAGTGCATAGATCAAGGCTGTCCACCCCCAGAAGAAGGGTGTTTAAATGTCAAAGGATAAAGTTGTAATGATTTGTACAATATAGGTCTGACTGATGTTCATGTCACAGTGAACAAAACACAAGGTCAAGCATTTCTTAATGAACTTTGACCTTTGCCAACAACATCCTAACAATGCTGCGGCAGGACACGGTCACTTCAAAAGGACTTTATCTAAAGGACTTGCATTACAATAAAGAGCTCTCTGAGAAACTGGAACAGATGTTCTCTTCTGCATTCACTCTTTACAGAAGGCTCTTAAAGTTGTTTTGGCCCATTTAAAGCCCATTTATAGTTCCATTTGCACTAATGCCGCATTTATTTTAGTTTTTTGAAGCATAAATTAGGGAGAATAGACTCTACACTGTTTAAAAGAGCACTTTTTAATGAAAATACACCTCTGTTTTAGAGTCACCAACACAGCAGCTGAACTGAAATCTCATTTATTTTTCAGTTTTTAATCAAACTGCACTTTCAGGGGGAAAAAAGTACAAAATTGGGAGTACAACAACTAGCCAATGGGGTAGTACCCTTAAAGGAACAACTTTGTACCTTATCTACCCTTTAAAGGTGCATTTTGTACTTTGGGGTAAGATGTAATCTCGAGGAACTACTACGAGCCTTTTAGGGTTAAATAAGACACAACATTGCCCCTTTGAGGGTACTGCCCCAGTGACAAGCTGTTGTACTCAAAAAGGTGCAATTTATGCACATAAATTGTACATAAATAACACATTGGTCGAGCATTTTATTCTGCAAATATTGTAGGCTCTATAAATTGCTTCTGATGTTCCTCATTTGTAAGTCTCTTTGAATAAAAGCATCTACCAAATGAATAAATGTAAATATGTGAATAGGTCTAATGTTTCTATTCAAAATATTGTCACAATGAACATTCAGGCTTAATGTGAATAGGTTTTAAGTATGTGAAAATACTGTTTGCAAATTCGACTCAAACTACAGTAAAAGCCTCCAAGCCAACACATTATTAACCTTGAATGAGGCTCCCGTTTGATCGGAATGTGCCTTTAGAAGGCGGCGTCTTTTATTTAGGATTTTAATTCATAAAGGTATTATATATGGGTATGGGATAAACTAGTCCACGTTATTTGGACTAGTCTTTATCAAAAATGGCTCTTTAATATACTTTTAAACATACAAACATGTTTTGAAAGCACTTTCAGACTGATATATTTATAAGAATAATGTATATGGATAGTGGAGAGAAATGAACAAAGAGCAAAAAGCTTTGTCAGTTTTCTTAAACTCTTTATTCTCAGGCAGAGAAAACCTTGTGAAAAAGAATGATATTTTTACAATACTGTATTAGCAGATATACTGTATAGTAATGAATATTAATGAAATAACAGGCCACCTAAGTGTACTGTAAGTAGACTTTGTAATAACGTCAATTTAAAAGTTATACGTTGATGTACATTTTGAAGTACATACTAACATACTAAAGCCCATGTAAAGTACTTGATTATAATTTTATCTGTGCTAGTCAATATTACATTTAAAGTTAATATATTTTAAATGTACTTAATTACAACTTAATCATTTCAAATGTGTAAAAACATATTTAAATAAACAATATACAAGTTTCAATAGAAATGGTAATTAAGTATATTTTATCATATACTATTACTATTTTATCATGTACCATAAATCCTTGTCAGTACATTCAACACTAAATATTACCATATTTTAAATACAGTAGAATTATGAAATTACATATTAACATGTACTTAAGTCCTGGGTGAGAAAAACATTCTAAGGCTGATTGCATTTAAACGGTGAAAAATTTGGACATACTTTATTTTAAGGTCCAGTTCTCCCTATTAACAAACCATTAACTATGACTTTTGCCTCCTAATTTGCTGCTCATTAAGGTAGTTGGGTAGGATTAGGGATTTAGAATATGGTCATGCAGAATATGTGCTTTATAAGTACTAATAAACAGCCAATACGTTAATAATAGGCATGCTAATAAGCAACTAGTTAATAGTGAGAATTGGTCTCTATGCTAAAGTGTTACTGAAATTTTCATTTAATTACAATAAACATACAAGTAAGTGGTCAAAAGAATCCCATTAAAAGTACTGTATGCTTAAGTGTACTTCTGTTTCACAAGGGAAGTCAGGGAACAATAATAGTGATGATTTCTCCTTTCTTTTTCACTCTGCCTATCCCTCTCACTTCCTGTCTATGACATGTCCAACTTTTTTAATGAGCATCATTACAGCTTCTACAGTGTGTGGAGATAGCATTAGCCAAGCATGGCAGGTCCTCAAAGAGAAATGGGTATTGACAGCGGGCTCGCCTCTGGGCTTGATGGGAGATGGCAGCGTCAGCACCGGATGAAGTGAATAAATGGAAATCCAATGCTACAGCTGACAGGGTTGAGGATGCTCGGCCATCATCGGCCCCGTGCCACCTACACCAATATTAGAGAATAGCAAAACATGCTAGTGCAGGAAGCGGGAAGAGGAGAGAGAAAGAAGGGAACAATTCTCCACCACCACCCCTCCCCCATGCTCTCTCCATCCACGGCGCTGGAAGAAAAAAGGCTGAGACCGGAGAATAGCGCGCAGGGCAATTGCAAATTAGCATTGTGTG